GGGGCGCCCTTCCCCCCTAGAGCGGAGGTCGCTACGCCACCTGTAATCGGCAGCGAGCGCCTCCGCCTCCAGGTTCCAGGGTGGCGCCCCGGCGAGGCTCTTCAAATACTCTATAAACCTTTTTTTTTAGATAAAAGAACGATGAGCGACCGTGATAGCCTAAACCGACACAGCTCGAATCTTTATAAACACGAAGAACATAATATTCTTTTATAACATACAAGCGGAAATAGCAAATAAACAAACACATGAAATCCCACTATATTCACTTAGCTCGAGACAATAAAAAGCCCTACCCAATTTTATCAGAAAATATTTTCCTTATCGCACCATTTCTGAAACTCATTTAAAGCACGATTCTTGCGTAATGAAATTCCGTCTGGTTCATAAAGACTGGTGGGAACCCTTTATTCTGAGGCTCCAGGTGTCTGCCCTTAACGTATGGTCCAAATTATAAGTGATTTCAAAATCAGAAAACTGTTCCGTGCTCTACCGATTGCCAGACCACGTAGAGATTTACAATTCGAAGAAACTCTATAGAAATAAGTAACAATAGGCTAATAATGAACTTTTGAAACTAAATCCCTATAAAAGTAAAAAGGGTTTTAATGAAACCGTTTGGCTAAAAACAATTGAAGCAACTTTTTTAACGTAAATATGTAATCGCGTGGTGCAACTTTATTTAATAGTGTCAAAAATTATCTATTCCTATGTTATACTGTCTAGTATACGTGAATAAATATGTAGGTATGTACGAAAAAGTCATAAAAGGTATCAACGTCAAAAGAATACTAAGGCTATATGAATAATCATTACATAGTATAAAACAAAGTCGCTTTCTCTGTCCCTATATCCCTATGTATGCTTAAATCTTTAAAACTACGCAACGGATTTTGATGCGGTTTTTTATAGATAGAATGATTGAAGAGGAAGGTTTATGTGTATAATAACGTCCATTAAATAGTGGAGAAATCAATAATAAATTACAGCTTCCGAAGCGAAGCGAGCGAAGTGCACGGCTAACCAAGTTTAGCCATGCACCATATGACCCAAAAATGCTTAATGTCATTCCATGTGTTTTAAAACTCATTGGATAGTTCTAATTTACCATATTTTTGGTATATAGGCCGGATAATAAAACGCTACATTTCAATACTTGGACGGTGTAAAGGCAAACGATTATTTAACTCGGATGCTTTTAAGCGCATTTTCGTTTTCTTCGTAATAATTGCACTGAGATCTGAAAACTTTTAAATGATATGATTCTGAAGTGCTACGTCCGCGAATCGAATGAAAAGTCCGTCTTCATTTTCTTACATTTTCTCGTTTCAATAGTGCTCAGTTTCTCCAGTTAAGAATTTCGCTTCAAACATTAATTTGTTTTATTTTTATTCAAACACCTTGATACTTGAACATTCGACTAATCGATCAAATATATATCAGTTCGATCGAAGATAGATTTTTAGAACTTTTCTATAATGATGAGTTAAGTAAAATTATGATCATAGAATTGCTGTGCCGCTCTTTTTTTTATATATATTTTTTTATTGCCCTTTTAGGCAGATGAGCATACGGCCCACCTGATGGTGAGTGGTTACCGTCGCCCATGCAATTCAGCAATGCCAGGGCCAGAGCCAAGCCGCTGCCTACCGCTAAATACTCTCCACAAGCCTCGTTTGAAGAAGGGCATGTCATAGCGCTCGGGAAACACCGTGGAGGGGAGCTCATTCCATAGCCGGATGGTACGTGGCAAAAAAGACCTCTGGAAACGCACTGTGGATGACCGCAGTGGCTCCAGGTAGTATGGATGAACTCTACTCCGGTGGCGGGCGGTGCGATGCTAAAAACGAGATGCCGGTATCATCTCGAACAATTCCTCAGAGCACTCCCCAAACGCTCTTGCGTACCCTATCTTGTTGGTGACAGATCGCATGCACTTCGGCCATATTAATTCTCGTTGACATAGTTGTAAGTGATGACCGCTGTTGGTAAGACCTTGAGCTCACCTCGTTATCGGGCGAGCTCCTTGCAACGTTCATTATCGAAGGCGCAAACGTAAATGAATGCCCCTCGCCGTTTGGGTCATCGTCTTGCTTTTACCTCCTACTTAATTGAATATGCAATTTCGGAAAGGGCACATGTCGCATATTTTGTCAAATAAGTTTTTTCATATGCATGTAGTTTTGAGGCTTACCTACACCCATTTTATAATAACTAGAGGTCCCGCAGTAGTCGAAATTCGACTATAATTAATTGGAATTGTAAGTTTGTACACTATTATGATTATATTTTATACTTCTATTATCACAAATTTCGCCAAGGCTACACTATAAAAAATATTAATAAAGACAAACAATATTTAATCTATTCTCAATTTGACCACAGACGTCAAGAACAAAAGTTTGACAATAAATAGTATGCGTGCGTGTGTGCGTCAAATACATGGTATGTAGTGTGCGTAATGTTTTTTTATTGATTTAATGTATCTTTTACGCATTACTTTAAAAAAATATTAGCATTGTGCACTTCTTCTCTATATTCTCTATAAGTGTGGAAAATTTCATACTTCTCCGTTCGTATATCTCAAAAGTTAATATTTTAAATGTTACACTGCCTTAGAAAATAAGCAGTTTTTTTTTCATTTCCTGAACATTTTACATTTTCAGAGATGTGCCCTTTTCGAAATTGCATATACAATTACATTTGACTCTTCAGTCTAACTGTATCTTAGATACTCGGTCACCGCGTTTTCGGTCACCGAACTAGAATTCTGAGAAGCAGCTCCCCAATATATACTACTTACTACCAGCAGTATAATGGATCCGTAAAGATCTTATTAATTGCTAAACAACAAAGTGCTTGGTGCAGTGTGATTGATAAATACATAATGCTTGATTACGTCACCGCCCAGACCAATTAATGTAAAAGAGAAGACGAAATATTAAACCAATATCAAACTGCTACCAATTTATAATATACAGGTTTATTTCGATGGTTTTTAGTCTAAAGAATATGTTAATGTTACACAGTTAAACGCCAAACAAAAAAACATGCTTATTGATTTAACGAAATACGGTTTTGCTTAATAAACATCTTCTCAGTGGGTCGCGTTTCCGATCCGGTGGTAGAATCTGCAAAGTACTGCTCTTGGTATGGTCAGTGTTAGCTGTTGCTAACACAACAAAAAAAAAAACTTAATAAAGTATATGTTTCTTTTTCCTACCTATGCTGATAGCCGTGAGAGGCTATTTCAGCTTCTCCTTGACGTGTAGGTGAGCTCACGGGGCTCAAACCAGAGTGTTAAAACTGGCCCTAGCAAGAGCAGTGCTTCGCAGAATCTACTACCGGATCGGAAACGCATAGTATTAAAAATACTAACCGCATACACAAAAGCAACACGGAAACTCTCCAAAGCTTATTCTCTGTTATTATCACAGCCCGGCGTGTCCCGTGTTTGAATAATTAAAATAAATAAATAACGCTTCCCCAATGAAAACGATATAATTGGGAAAACATGTAAAAACGAGAAATGTGCCATCAAACGGATTTATGTCGATTGTAACGAAGCGCTAATGGCTTTAAAAACCTAAATTTATGTTACTTATAGCATCATGTTAATGTTTTTGGAACGAAGTTCCTTACGGCAAGCTTGGAGGGGATAGGGATTTTGCTGCGCGACCGAACTGAAAAAAATGTGATAGTAAAACCGTAAGAAAAAATCCGTGGAAAAAAGTGCGTGGAATAAAACCGTTAAATGAGACGTGCGCAGGCGCGACAGTCGTATACACAAGCGAGTAGTGTATAATACCTTTCTCTTTCTCCCTCTTTCTTTTCGCTCTCTCATCCATTCTCTTTCTATTTTAAGTAATTTATTATTTTTCCTAAAATACTGAATTTCCTAAATACTTTCTTGTACTTAAATAAAAACTAATCAACAAAATTTAAGAGAAAAATCAAGAAAACCTACATAAAATTGAGCACGATTTTTTTTGCAATTTGTGTCGATTCCACATTAGCCGAAGGAACTTCGTTCCTACCTGGTGTCCCACGACACCACATATCATTTTAATTATATTATTATTATAGTTATATTTACACGGATTATAAGAAAATGCTTTAAAATAAGTTAATACAAAGAAATGTAATTGTTCAGAAGAACAATCCATAAATTGGGAACGAAACGGTATCTATTGGAACTGTGTCTAAAAACGAAGATGAATTAATTTTGCTACTTGACTACAACATGACGGATTAAAGCACTTTACTACAACATAACATAGGAGTACTAAAATAAAACTCATTCGATAAAATTTATTCTATTATTTTTGTTTTGCATTGCAAATGTAAGAACATAATCTAGCAAAGTCAGGGACTGTTTTCATTGCCTCGTTCGTCAAGCGAGAGATAAGCTATCTAACTACACATTAAGCACCTGTCCAAGGATCGATTACCGATCAAATCAAATCAAAAAATTTTTATTCAACATAAATGAAAGTACATACTTGTTGAACGTCAAAAAGAACTACCGCCAATTCACAAATAAACTAGCCTCCGTCCTCAGAAGAACTGGCAAGAAACTCAGCGGGCATTTTTTTTTATATATATTTTTTTAAATATTTATTTTTACAATGAGATATTCATTTTTAAAATGAGAAAATCGAATCGATCGAAGTGAATACCTTCCCAGAGCTATGTATGTATGTAAATAATTATGTACTAATTATTTTATCTTATGAACCTTCGGCACTCATAACACGGGATAAATTGCTAACTAGGGTTGAGATAATAAATAAATAAAACCACGACTCTGAGTACTCTCCGAAATGTTCTTAAAATTATATTAAACGTCTACTCATATGTTTTATTCGTGGCACCTTAAGACGTTATTAGCTCGTAAGCCTCTTTCCCTATCTCGGTGCTTAGAGGCAGCTCCCAAAAGCGCCCCGAATGATGCCACAAATTTTCATAATACAACGAAATAATATTAGTACGCAACGTACCTGAGTTGAAACCGATATGCCCGAGCTGCTGGCAGCGCCACCTGTTGAGAAAACACCAATTAATATTATGAGTAAAACTCTGAAGTTGGCCTTAATTTGTAATTTTTTTTTATTGTTTAATAGTTGAGCTGTTTTTAATCAACGAGGGAGCTTATTAGTACTTTATCTGTATCCTCGCAAATAGGTGAACAGGTTTCAACGCACCTTTCAATGGAAAGTTAGTTTTATCGGGATAGTCTAAATTGATAGGTGTTGAATTGATAGGATTGTCTAAATTGATAGGATCCTGAGCCCACATATTCGAAGTTTTTTTCCCTACCTATGCTAATAGCCTTGAGAGGCTGGCTATTTCAGCTTCTTGACGTGTAAGTGAGGTAACGGGGCTCAAACCGGAGTGTTGCTAACACTGGCCCTAGCAAGAGCAGTGCTTCGTAGAATCTACCACCGGATCGGAAACGCGACTCACTGAGAAGATCCGGCGAGAAACTCAGCTTGCTGTATCTATGGGTTCGTGGGTATCACCACCCTGTCTTTTTTTGCCGTGAAGTAGTAATGCGTTTAATTTTGAAGGGTGGGGCAACCGTTGTACTAAGTCACAGGCTAAGACTTACAGCTCATGTTTTATGGTGGGTGGTAGTTGTTGTTGATCGCTGTTGGCTCTGATAACCACTTAAAAATAAGTAAAATGTAAACTTAGCCAACGATCTAAGCAAGAAAAAAAAACGGCCGCTGTGTAACATAATTGAAAATTCAACTGCACGTTTCAAGATGTGGTTCTCATGTTATGATGTTTTGTCGCTTAGCACTAGGGGAGCCGACTTCCGATGATGAAAATAACAAAATGCACGTATTCCCAACAATATGTACAAAATATAAAGAATATATACATAGAATGCATAGTTAAGTACCGGTATACCCTTCAAATACCAAGAAGTTATTCGATATTTTAACTTAATTATATTAATACCATATCAAAAATATCCGAATAACTTCAGATTATTAATTTTACGGTTAATCGACGAAATCTAAATTTTATTTTAATGAAAAATTACCACAGTCTTAACGGAATGTAGAATTACTTGAACCTAGTTTTATTGGTAGCAATTAAACGGAATTGACGACAAACGATAACTACAGCAACAGTTAACTGGTCAAGGGTAACAAAGATATGAGCGTTTGAAATTTTAAAAAAATATGCCACATAATCTCTGCCAGAGTCCCAAGAAAACGGCAGAAGGCCTTATACCGGGCTAGCATTATCCGTCCAAGCTAATATAAAATCAAGTACAATGATTTAAGTAAGCTAAATTCAAAAGGATCAAAATCCAAATCAGGCAGATGTGCTTTGTGATGGAAAACAACATAATGAACTTTAATCCTGCCATACGATAACCTTTTAATCCTTGAACCGAACGAAGTAAATATACCAGTATTTTAAAATAGCAATGGACGTTTAATGGAAACAATAGAGACGACAGTCAGGCCTGACTCTAGCTGTTCGAATTGGATTACCGACGGATTTACAGCGCACCCGATAAAACATATAGGATTGGAAAAGTAAGCTTCCATATGTACAGTCATAGAGCTCAACGATATGAAAGCTGATATACGTACGAGTTTGGCTGCGTTAAATCTATACCAGATCTTTAATAGACAAAAGTGATTTCATTGGCCAAAACGATTAAAACAGACCAAATGGTGCTCCAAGATTTAAGCGAAAGTGCCGCTTTACGACACAATTGAGAAATCGGCCTCATGTCTCACGTTTTGTGTATCAACTCCAGTGACCACTTAATACATTGGGCCTTGGGATTTCCCAACCTTTTAAGTAAACTAAAAGAGGACAGTTGGATATAATTCACCTCGAATCTACAACCTATTATAGTATATTCTTCGATTTTTACGAGTCGGAGACATAATTAAAATTACTGTTAAAGTTTAATCTCGCCTTTTTTTATTTTCATTATGTTATTTCAAACGTTTCCTTTTGTTTTAGCAATGAGAGTTAGTGTCACTACAAATACATCATTACTATAAGTTAGCATTATAGTTATAAACAAGTTAGAAATTTATAACAGAACTAAAGAGACTTCAATAGTTTGAAACTTAATCCATTCCGGATTTAAATTTACACTACACTAAATCCTGTTCGCTTGGGGCGCTATAACTTATCCCGGATACTGGGGGTTAAATTCTACAGAATTAACTATAAGTTGCTCACAGCCTAGTCATTTATTAAATTTTTCTAGTTATATTTTTTATATTTTTTTAGTTTTTTTTTCTATATGCGTTATATTAATGTGACAGTTGACAAACTGTACATTCATTATTTTTAATGGCTTCAAAGAAGCCCTCGATCGATCCGATGTCAAAATGAAACGAGACGCCAAATTTTAAGTTTTTTTTTTTTTATTGACACTTTTTTTAAATCTTAAATGAAATGCTTTAACAAAGAAATAGAATTGAAACACAAATGTTGCATCCCGAAGCTCTTGACGAAATCAATTTAAAACGTTCTACAAAGGAATAAATGAAGCTGTCAAGGACAATTAAGGCTTGGAAGGGCGAACCCTTTTTTGTGATTTTTTATTCACTCTGAAAGGCACGGGATTGAGTGAGCACTGAATATCTTTATTAATAAATTTAGTATCAAAGTCACTCAGAGAGATATTGTCTAGTAGGGTTTAGCCATTAAATAGAAATGACTGTATCAAAAATACCAAATAGTATTACTTTGGTGGAAGCCAAAATTTTGCTATTAGAATTTCTTGTAATATATTAATTGTCTCGTTAAATTATAACTTGACAATTATTAGTAAGTAACAAGTGCATGTTTTCTAGGTATTTTAACACTTAGACGGGTGAATGAGCTCAAGACCCATTTGTTAGTACCGGAGCTCTTAGCAAAGCGTGAATTCCACCATCCACCACTTTTTTTGCCTACCTATTGCTAAACTCGAGAGACAATGCTAACTTCACCGAACCTGTAGATGAGGTCACGGGACTCAACCTGGGAGATTTTGCTAACATCTGCCCTAGTAAGAAAAATGTTTGGTTGAATCTACCAGCAGAATCTTGCTTAACTACCTTATACAATAATTATGGGTAGAGATAGGGTACTGCTATTCTAGGCCTCATATTTTTAAGGTTTTTGTTTACTTACTTTCACGTTATTATATTTATTTCATTATAAAAGTTTCATTATTTTTCGTTGTTCGTGCTCCGATATTACTGTCATGTTTATATTTCAGATATTTTTTTATTATAGATTCAAATAAAATCTGGCATTAAACTAACAGCAAAAATCTATGCGATTCTCTAAGTCATTTTTTTATTGCTTACTTGGTTGTATGAGCTCACAGCCCACTGGTGTTAAATGGTTACTGAAACCCATAGACATCTACAACGTAAATGCGCCACCCACCTTGAAATATAAGATCTAAGGTCTCAGTATAGTTACAACGGCTGCCCTACCTTTCAACCCGAAACGCATTACTGCTTCACGGCAGAAATATTTTACACTAGTTGCCCCGGCGAACTTTGTACCGCCTTAGAAGCAATAAATAAACAGACTTTTGAGTTTATCAAGGTCAATTTTTATTTGGATAATTAATGTAAATTAAAAAAGCAAGCATTTTAATGATTCTTTATTGGCCATGTATTTTTGTTGTTATTATTATTATTATTATCTTCAGTCCCTTCACTCGCAATGTCTCGAATCCTAGTTGCATTACGGCTTCGTCGGGAAAGATTTGATCGTATTGGTCGCGCCATGACTTTCTTAATGATTAATCATCTCGGCACAATAAGCTAATAGAAACTCGAAACAAACACATCAACCGGTCAACTTCAAAATTGTATTATAATTAACCATAGACTACACTACGTTTAGTTGTCAGTTACGTTTTGTTATTCCATATCAGTTGCATTTTGTTATACCACGTTTTATGTCACGTCCAACGGGAACGTGATAAAAAGTATCCTATGTCCTTCTTCTGGTTCTAAGCTACCTCCCCACCAATTCTCATCCTAATCAGCTCAGCCGTTTTTGAGTTATAAATGGTGTAACACGACTTTCTTTTATATATATAGATTACAAAAAGTGGATTCTTCTAGGCCGCTTTTGCTGAACTTTAACATCTATCATCATCACCAATGGTGATGCCAACACATCGACTACCATAAAAAAGTAACTAAGTTATCCAAAATTATTTAGAGTCGAAGCTTAGCGAACTGCAAGATTATGGCTGGTTTATTAAATTTCTCCTCAACTCAAGGGCCTACGTAAACCCTTATAAATTCCAGTCGAGTGAAACTTCTTTTGATAAACTTATTCAGTGAACCATTTATTCAATATGTTTGATTGGTCTACAGTCGAACAGAGTTTAGATTTGAATAGTTCCTGAATCTCTTTTTTATTGTCATTTTAAAATAAAATCACTCCATCTCCTCCAATGGATGATATAGAATTAACTAAGGGATTCATCGGAGAATTTTATTGCTTAAATAATCAAGCTACCTTATAGCCTACTTTATGGTAAGTGGTTACCAGAGTCCATAGATATCCCAATTTGTATACCGCCACTAACTTTCAGTTGTTGTTCAGTTCTCTGAGGTATTGTTTGAGATGATACCATCATCTCGTTTTTATCATCGCACCGCCCGCCACTGGAGTAGAATTCATCCATACTAGCTGGAGCCACTGCGGTCATCCACATTGCGTTTCCAGAAGTATTTTTTGCCACGTACCATCCTGCTATAGAATGAGTTTCTCTCTATGGTTTTTCTCGGGCGCTATGACATGTCTTTCTTCAAACGAGGCTTGTGGAGAGTAGTAAGCGGTAGGCAGCGGCTTAGCTCTACCCCTGGCATTGCTGAAGTCCATGGGTGACGGTAACCGCTCACTATCAGGTGGGCTGTATGCCTTTCTGCCTACAAGGGCAATAAAAAATAACAATAATAATTTCAAATTCCTCCCCTTATCCCCCAAAGTCTGCATTAAGTACTAATGTAAAGTTTGTTGCCAGCGGAGACGAAATGGTTCCGCCGCGGCGCCGTTCTGTTTATTTCTGCCGCGAAGTAGTTTAACTTCAATATGGTGGATTAACATTATTACTGTTACGTCGGTAAGAGCAACGCGATCTATCGTCGAATAGCAGGAACTAATATAAAAAGAACTAGTAAAGTCAAGAGCGCTCGAGAAATACAACGCCATCTATTCAAATGGCGGAAACGCATATTGAAAACACTCGACTTGTGAGGAATGTTCTCGATAATCCTAGGGATGTCGAATCGACT